GGCCGGGGGGGGGGGACTCGTTGTCAGCAGTGGCTCATCGTTTGCGTTTTTGCTAAACGACCTTGCGCACCTACTATACGACCTGACGGGCGGACTCGGAGAGATTAGGAAAGTCTATTTGCTCTGCGCTCGCAGGGGGCTACACGCTATTCGGAAATTCCCAACGACTGGGTCCATCGAAATCCTCTCGAGAGCAGGAAGCAGGTTGTCGCTGTCCGACGTATCTTCCGAGACATTACGTGGAACTGTGCCGGAGCTGTCTTTTTGAAGAGGTCCATTTGGAGATCCCGCGATAGCGAAAGGGTCTGAGCTTTTGAACTACAGGAGTATCTGGAGGAATATGAGGCCACCGCGGGAAAGCGCTAGAGTAATTAAGGACGACTCTGGCAGGAACCAGGAACTTGTCACTTTGGCAGTGAATTTTGCCGTATCGTTCAACACGGTGACACAGTTAATATGTGACTGGCGGTCCATTACGTATTACGTATTTTTTGCATGTAAATTTTTTAAGATTTTTCAAGAATTCCTCTCCGCATAAGGCTGCTCCTGTGTAGTACGCATTCTCGGCTTTTCTCACAATATTATCTATGCGTATAGGCAAATACGAAGTTACGAACTTGTAAAGAGTGAAGAGCATATGTATAAGCAGGTACACACACGTATGTAAATCCTATCGTGTACCCCCGGGAAGAATAATCTTGGAAAGGGGTGCGCGGACCCAATGGCGACAACATTTTAGCAGTTTTCCTGCCACCGGATGTTTCATATCCTCCGAACGTGTAGGCGCACCAATACAGCCGCGGCGCCCTGCAGCTGAGCTCGTTCGCGGCCTCCACGCCCGAGGAGTCCTTGTGTCCTATCATCGCTGTCATACATACATATATGTATATCTACAGCTAGTTTATCGACGCACGGAGACTGAGTGGGTGATCGAGTCAGTGAGAGAGTGGAGCAGAACGAGAAGAGAGAGGACTCTGTCTCTCTCTCTCTCTCTCTCTCTTTGAAAGTAAAATGGATGCGGCTGCGAGGCAGACGGGAGCAGCTACGGGCTACTTGGACGCCTCGCGGCAAGACTACTTGGTAGTCGAACGCCATCGATAGCCCTCTTGCTTTTGCTCCTCCAGCTGCTCCTCGGCCCTCCGTTCGTCTGGCCATGGCGCTCCGTCTGACCGCAGCAATGGGGGAGCCGCTCGGTGTTATTGAAGGAGGAGTGCCGCGCGCGCGGCGCTCGACCCACTTAGTAGTCTGCTCGAATACGCACGCCACCTCCTCGGCCCAGAGCTGATCAGCCTCCCACTATATCTCTCCTATCTCTCCTATCTCTCCTATCTTTCGATCTCAACCCTCGCGTTGCTGCTCTCTACCCCCATCCTCCGCAAGAGCCTCCGATATTCCGATCGCTTCTCTCCTTACGCAAACCAACCGCCAAATTACGTGAAACCTGACATTCTCGACTGGTTCTTCTGGCTGTTAGAAAAACAATGGAAAATGCAAGAGACACAGCTCGATCCTGAAATACCAAAGGATAAAGTATTTCATGAAGATTAAAGGCGGGAGAATGCACATTATGCCAGGATGCTCCCAAATTGATCGAGCCCCCTTCACCTGCTTTCCGTAAAGGGACAAAGCCACAGATTCGCGCTGCATCGGTGCAGTCGAGGAGCAGTTCCGGCCAGGGCTGAGATACATTGATCTGCATACGGCAGAATGAAGGGTCGAGTATGAAATAAATAATGCGGCTTCTTTACGAGTACAACGGATGTACCGTATTGGCGCGTTAGCGAGTCACCCGCGAAGGCTAATGATCCTCCTGGAGCAGCTCAGCAGCACAGCAGCATAGCAGCCCAGTGCACCAGCAGTTCTGACCCCAACGGGAACAGTTTCCTGGATAACTCGGAATACCTCAACTCTGCCAAACGCGTATTCCGGTAGTCGTGCCGGAATGTCCAGGCGATACGCCGCTTCGCCGTTATTAAGCGTCCTCGTACCCCGACGACCCAGAAACACCTTCTTCTTGGTCTTTGGCGATCTGGTACTCTCTTTCCATGCTAGAGGCTCGGAACAATAAGCCGAGGAAGACTTCAGCCTGTTCAACAGTCCTTCGGCCATTCCGTTCATTCCGTTCATTCCGTTCATTCCGTTCATTCCGTTCATTCCGATTCCACGAGGTAAACGAAGGCAAAGACACAGGGACGTACAGCTAGAGAGGAAAACGCTTGTCACGTTCATGGAAACAGAATAACCAGCATCCTGCTCTGTCGCACTGCGTCTCACCGCCTCGGAACGTTTCGATATTTCAAATGTTATCTCGCGAATCTTTCATCGTGTTTAGAGTCAAGAATGTATTGTGCTCCATACAGCGATCCTCGAGAAAAGCGACTGAATCTGCGTTCGCATGCGTGCATAGGCGTGAGCACGAAACCCTCGAGCTCTTTTCAAAGACGGGACTATAGTCATATTTCCAGCCATGCTTTTCCTCCTTCTCTCTGCGACGCCCCACCCTCCACCTTTTCCTCCTTTTCTCTTTTCCTCTTTTTCTCTTTTTCTCATTTTCTCATTTTCTCATTTTCTCTTTTTCTCATTTTCTCTTTTTATTCTCTCGCGTTCGTTTTCGCTGACGCTCCGTTCTTCGTAAGCAAACTTCCATAATCATACGTGACCAGAAAGATCTTGGCGTTTGGATTATTGATTATTAGCTCACGGGATAAAGCCAGCCATCTCTGGCACCACCATATGCCGAAACGATATGCCTGGCCGTAAGGAAAATAGGATTTGAATGATCGGCAGAAGGATCGCCAAGAGCGCAGAGGAACAAGCGGTCGACGGGGAAATGGTAGAAGCGAAGTGCGACGTGCGCGAGAGCGCCGGGATGGGAGATCGGCAGGAAAAGATTGTCAAAAAGCCACAGAGCAACCGGATGCGACCGAACAAGTGAGAATAGGAAGAAGCCAAAGGTCGAAGCAAGACGCTCTCCTCGCTCTAGACTTTCTTCGCGAAGCTCGAAAAAGCTCCTGCAGTTGAATTCGCAAAGTTTCTGCTTCGTCCTTTTGAGCCTTTTCGTCCTTTCATTCAGTGGTGAAATCAATTCGGAGCGGCTTTTCCTTATTCGTAGACGTAGATGCTTTCGAAAGCTCATGAAAAGTTTTCGAGTGTTCCTCTACCTTTGTCGCTTTTTATCAATAATAATCCTCCTCGGCAGTCTGGTTGACACAGACACTTGGAACATTTCGAATTTCAATTTCGCGTCAAAGTTTCGTTTAACTCTCCAAGCAGACAAATCAGTCTGTGTGACGAATTTCGAAATGGTACCCGAAGGAAGCGATAGAGATGGATGAAAGGCACGCGAGGAAGCCTAGGAAGCCTAGGAAGCCTATGCGTGGCTTTGTCGGAGCAGTTAGAAAACTCAAAAGATTCGGCAAACGGGGTAGACTCGAAGGACCAGCCAACGAGAAGTCTGACGTTCTGTCAAGGTAGCCTTGGAACTTGCGAAGACAAAAAGATGCCACGCTGGTGGCGTCTCCAGCTACAGCGAGTAAGCATCCAGCATCCAGCACCCAGCACCCATCAAACTAACGGAATACAGTCGCGCCATGTCTTCGCGAATGAAGAGTGAATTTTAGGTGCTCGTGCTCGTGCACGAAGGATTGGGGATTGGGAATTTGAGAGAGACTGTGAGAGGCGGCGAACGGGGTCGCACGGCTCTGAAAGCGCAGGGGGTGGCTGATGCGAATTGAATCATGGGGGCGTTTTAGCGCCGACGTGCCCCGCGTACAGAATTTGAATCGTCATCCCCGCCAATAGGGCCAACCAGCCAGGCAGCCAGTCACTCTTTACCGAGGTATGTAGGTAGGTACTCGGGTACATAGCTACCTGGCCACCTTCGGTATACGTTCTTTGCCTATTCAGAGGAGAACCGAGCCCCGCAGCTACGGCGCCAAGCGTCCCGTCGTCCCTCTCCAGGAACCGGGAGCCGTGACTGCATCGATTTTTAAAGTTGTACGCCGAACGAGAGAGCATCCTTTCAGAATTTGCCCGATTGAAAATTTATCTGATGCGCGCCGAGTACGAAACGGCTTCTCGCGACCGGGAAGACCATTTTTCGAGAGCGTCCCGTTTTTCTCGACGTCTCGTCATTCCGCGCGTCTTCCTGGCCCCAGCGACCTCTATACACGTACTTGCGCTAGGACCGATTGAATTCGCATTCGCGAGTCTACTCGGCAATCGATCGACGAAGAGCAGAGAGGCTGGTAATTCGCCATTAATCGCCATTAATCGCCATTAATCGCCATTAATCGCCATTAATCGCAATGGCGAGTAATCATCGCCCGTCATAGCGTCTCCCCGCCCAAGAAACTTGAAATTGAAATTGATTCTCAAGGTGGCTCGAATCGCGTGCGACGCATAATCGGACATCCGTCAAATATTTCTGGGCCACGGAGCGGCAACACTACCGTCGAGAATGTCATCGCCGACGCCAAACCCAAAATTCGAATCCATATAGCTGAACAGCAAAGCACACAGCTCGAGCACTAACCTTACGGATACGTCGCTGTGGCACTGAGGGGATGGCCACCCACTTTATGATATTGTTAATATGCTCGGGCAAGCGCGTTGTCCATGTCCAAATAATGTTCTTTCGTAGCGACGGCTACGAGGCGCCACGTGTCCTTGCAGGGCGATTCGTTTAAATCCATGACTGGACTTTTTTTGCAAAAAAATCCAAGCTTCCCGTTTCATCCCGACGCACGAGAGGTCACAGGGTCTTGACGTCTTGACTGTCAAGTGCAACATTCATTCGAACCTTCTTGCTTCCTACTAAATCCTCCCCCCCTCCCCCCCCCCCGTTCCCTCAGCTGAGCTGGAGCTG